AACTGCCGAAAACGTTTGGTTTAAACATTTTAATAATTTTATCCTAATCTTTTAGCCTTGTATATAGAATAACAGTTGACTTTGTCCAATAAAGTATTATACGCAGATTAAACAGCTATACACTGCAATACACAGTTATACAGCTATACATAGCCATTTAACAATTATTCCACGAGCGCGCGCTGGATAGGAGATGATAGATAGTCAACGAGGCGCGTAGCGCCGAGTTGGCTATAATCATCTCATATCCAACAAGCGCAAGTGGAATAACTGTTTTATTAAAAACGTTAAATTGAATTATTAAATTTTATGAACTTTTTAGCTCCCTTTTAATTTTAACCTGACACGCACGCTTACCATATTTGTAGATTATGGTATATTGGCTGATATACCATAATGGCTAAGCCAATAAAAAAGTCTTGAATTGCATTATCCAATGATCTAGTTTTTAATAAACACAAATATACGCTGCAATACACAGCTACACACAGCTATGCACAGCTAAACACAGCTATACACAGCATTGTATAGCCCTATATAGCTGTATATAGCCAATTATAACCCACGCATTAATTTTGGCGCGATTTTATTGGTTACTTTACGTCACGTGGTGCAAAATCACAGGACAGTTATCCCGCAATACCCCCCGTCCGCGTCGATATTTGTCCTCCGATTTTTTTGAAACATATTCAACACAAGAGTTTCAACTTTTCCGTTCTCCAATTTATATGGAAGGAAACCAAACTGGTTTTTTTTCGCTTCCTTGCGTCAATCACGCGCATTCGCCATCAGATCACCACTGGCTTTTTTACTGTGTTTACGCGCAGTTTAATTGCAATGTGAAATTAAAGGGAGGGCTATAAAATAAATAAACCCCGTTCTGGCTTGCTGGTATGTAGGCTGATAATGTCCTTGGTTGAGAGATTGTCCTTAAAATTTCATATTTGTCCTCGAAGCTTCGCTTCTCGGCCAAATATTCATTTTTTGGACAATCTCTCAGCCGCGGACATTATCAGCCGACATACTAGCCGCCCGAAGGGGTTTATTTACTAAATATAGCTGTGTATAGCCCCATATAGCTGTATATAGCCGTGTATAGCTGTGTATATAGTCCTATATAGCTGTATATAGCCCTGTATGTTGTATATGTAGTGCTAGGAGATCTTATGTATGTAAAGGATAGGACATTATATGTATTGGGACATAATAATTCCCCATACATGACCTACCTACGGCTAGAATGCCTCTTGCCGCTGTCTGCTAGCTTGCGCGATTCCCATGTTTGGATTTCGCCTCGCGGCCCACTTTCTAGATACAGCCGCCTATTACACCACCGGCAGCCTAGCCTACGTGAAGCTGCTCCCTCCCTTTCGTTTCACCTTGTGGGGGAGGAGGGTAAGGCTAAGCGTAGGTCACCGGGAGCCGCTTACGAAAAGTTTTCGAAGCCCCTGAAAGCATGTGTTGGAAGACTAACAATCAATTTACTTTCCAATAGTGCTGAGAATAAAAATTAAAAAAATACGCATCTGATGATTGTTTTGAAATTATAATGCAAATACTCCTTCTGCACATGGATTCAATCGTCAATGATTTGAATTGCTTGTGTGTTTGAGAACTCCCATCATGCACACACCGTAACTTTTTAAAACATTTGAAAGTCACACCCCTTGCCAATGCCATTTCTAATGTCCAACTTTTCGTCTATCTCCGTTCATTTTTCTTCAGAAGTGCCAGTATGACCAACTCAGATGGAAATTTCCATCTTGAGTGGAGAGACAACTCATCCAAGCCGACCTTACAACGGGTTTCACTTCCTTCCGTGATAAACCCATTATTTGAAGAGATACATCACGACACTAAGCTATTGGACATTGTTTGTGATTTGGTGAGTCATTAACTCAATGACATAAGCAGATAAATCAAGCATATAGAGAGTTTTTCGATTGAGTGTCGTAAAACCAAAACTAAAGTAATCACAAAAGCGAATCATTTCTAACAGGGTCATTTCGTCGCAAACCTCGTATTCGCTGAGGTCGGGACCATCATGTCATGTGCTACGTGGCCGAACTGACCCTTTCTTAGAGTTCGTATCAGTTAAATATGCTTCGTATATTAACAGTGCGTAGGTATGCGCATTCGTTTTCTGCTCATTGTTACTATACTATATTAATTTATATCTTTATATTTATATAGTTACTCGTATACTTATATAAATATAAGCATACGTTATGATGCAGTCCGGCCAAAGTCTCCCGGAAAGTGTTGTGATGCACATTTGATCATATCCACATGTTAATTTGCGCAATACAAATATTAAATTATTATTATTATTATTATTATTAAATACACGTATATGTGTATGTTTGTGAGTGTAGTGTCTGACCCTGCCAGTAATTCAGAGAGATCTGCAAATGGTAGAAATAAACAAATATTGTAATTGTAATATTGTAAAAAACCTTTATGAGTCAAAATGAGAACTCAGTGTTAAAAGAACCAAGCTGCCTAAAGCGCGAAAAAATGCGGGCGACCAAGTCGCTCTAAGTTTCAGTTTTGCATCTGATTGGTTAAGAGAGTGGCGCTAGTTTTCTGGACCAATCACAGAGCGAGGTAAAGCAAAACCAATGCAATCACAGATTACTTTCGACACTGGATTGAGAACTGCTGGCGATGTGTTGTGATTGACAATTTTAATTATGGAACCTTTTCCACGTTCGTTCAACTTTGAAAACTCGAGCGAGAAGTATACGAAGTATAGATTACCGATATGTAAATACCACAAATGCCCTCATTTGTCAAAGATCTTTGTTAAGGCAGTTTCTTCGACTTTACTGTGCTCAGCGTTCATTGCTCGAGATGCACAGACACTTGTCTGTACTCCATCCTCAAACTGAAAGCTACAAAGGAAAATTATAAGAATAACAACATAATAAGATATAGAAATCCCACCATTTCCGTCTTTTTGAAAACAAAATATTAATTTTCCATCGAATGAGATATTTAAAGAAATCTCAACAAACACTCCACGGAATACAGGGCCCTTATACTATACAGAACATTCTTCCAACAAATGTCAAAACCTGAATTGAAAGGTATTTTTGGGAAGAAGTTGAAAGAAAACCTACTTTCCCATTTTTAAATGTTTCGATAATATATCCCCACAGCTTTATCGCACTCCTTGCATTTAAAGAAAGAAAACAGATTGGTGGTGAGGAAACTTAATAAAAACCACTATAGGTTACCTCAAGGTAGAACAAGATGAATAGATCTAGGCAACAGACATATATAGTAAACAACGTGTTGAAAAATTGAGAGTAGATATTTTAAGTTTATAGACTACTTTCATAAATGGCTGCCGTATAAATATTCTTTTGTTTAAATTTAAATTAGCCCTTCTGGCCTCGCTTGAGATAATGTATTCTTTTGAATTTTGTACTGGAGAACGAGGCCAGTAGGGCTAATTTAAATTTAAACAAAAGAATATTAATCCGGCAGCCATTTATGAAAGTGGTCTATTATGAAGAATTTGACAGAATCTACACGGTAGACAAAACTTGTTTGTGTGCTATGTGTTGTCGCCGTGTATTTGGTTGGTTCACCGGAACATATTTTTAAATTTACGAGGGCGGGCAGATTTTTGGAATGAGAACATGAACTGACCTAGCTATACCAAATAAATATTATGAAATTTTAGTCATTTAAGTTTTGAAAGAGGCTTGAAGAATCTTCGACTTTTTTCTGATCTTCAGATTGGTCCCTCTGTCCGTTACATCCAACATGATGCTCTATACTTCAACTTCCCACAAGGAGGCAGCTTTCCGATCAAATGGCACCAAGACTGGACATTCTGGCCTCACACAAATAAAGACCTTGTAGTGGGCTTCCTTTCAATTGATGACTCCTGCAAAGAAAATGGTAAGAAAATGATTGCACCCTTTCGAGCGAGCACTGAGGATGAAGGGCAGGTGTACATACAATTTTCCCAGCCTCAATGTTGTTCAGGTTGCAAATTTTTTTACTCATAGCCTTATAAACTGGCATGAGATGTACCAGGGACCTTAAGCAAACCACGACAGCGAAGCAACGAGGACGCGTTCAAAGAAAAGATCTAATGGACAAAACAATAGCTTAGCACGTGCGTTTTAAACTTTTATAAATTTTCTAGCCTTCCACTGCGAAAAAACAATGTGAGATCACGAATTAAACGTCGACGACGATTACTCAAGTCTCCATTAATGCTATGCACATACGTTATGCTGAATTTAAGGTGTGGCGTTGTAAGAGAAGGTAAAAATATCCAGCCATTCCCGAAA